GGCCTACCCCGAGGGCGCTCCGGCCCCGGGCCCCCTGTGCCGCCGTGAGCCCCGAGCGGGGCTTCCCCCGAGGCGGTTCGTCTGCAGGAGGCATCAGAGCAGCGGTGGTTTTCACGCTGGAAGCGTGGTTTGAGTCACGCTTCCGTCATTCTAACTTGGACCCCACGTCTCGGCCTGCAAAGGGGGAGGAAGCTTGATAAGAGAAGGGGCTTTGTACCTTAGCAAACACCCTGTGCTCACCGCCACTGCCTCACGCTTCTGCGAGCTGTCCTCGAGTCGTCCTAGATGAAGACTTTGCTTTTTCTATTGAAACATTACATTGTACAGTAACTGTAGTAGAGACGCACATGTCTTAGTTTTGTGTTTAAAACACTTCTTGCAGCTACTGTGAAACAGCATGCGGTAGGGAAGGGGTACTATTTCATGTACTATTACAAATCTTTCTTGACAGACAACGGAGAACAAGTTTTGGTTGACGTGGAAGATAAAACCAACAAAGAGATAACAGAGCACATTAAAAAAATCTTGGGGAAAAGCAAGTAAGTAACACTTAATAAGCTAATGTACAGTCTAGCATACATCATAATACAAACCCTGCAAACTTTTGTCAGGTATACAGAAGGAAATACCACTTTTCCCAGACAAAATTGACATGAGCGAGGTAAAGTCCACAAGCTAGGAACTGTAAATCCATCTTTCTGATAAATTGGTCTGGGGAGGGGAGAGGAAGTGTTGCCATTCAGGCTTCTGATAGTAACAAACAGATCTCTTCTCTAGAGAAACGCTTGAAAAAGAGGAAAGAGAAAGGAAAAAACTATCACATCCAGCAACATTTGGGCCCAAGAAGTATCATCTGCGAGAATGCATGTGTGAAATTGAAGGCCAAGTTCCCTGCCCTGCTTTTGTGCCACTGCCCAAAGAGATGAGGGGAAAATACAAAGCTGCTGTGAAAAATGAAGCATCAGCCTGACATCTCAAGTCATGCAGTTGTTTTACCTCAGGGCTGGATGATCAACGTACTTCAGCGAGAGACAGGAGCTAACAGCTCCTGGAAACAGGAACAAGCAAGTTCATATAATACCGACAACCTTGTCTCATAAGTCTTCTTAAAGCTACAACTAGAATAATTAAAGTGACAAATAAATAAAAGTTAAACCCCCAGCTTTTTGGTGCCAGTTATACAAAACATTACAGTCAACACTGTGTAGAAGGAAAACAGAACAAGGAAAACGGAATGACTAAAGCCCTATTTCCTACTCATGCCTGCATGTATAAGGTTATGGCAAAAACAAGATCATGTTTGCTTTGGGATAGAGAGACTAGACTAAAAAGTTAATTTATCTTAGAAGCAGCACAGAATCCACAATTTATAGGGAGTGGTGTAAAAGTGTTCCTGCCGATTTCCATCTTGTACTAACTGAAGACAGCCAAATGATAATGTAACTCCAGCCTCAAACTACATACTGAATTTTCTTAATTTATTTAGTTACTACTCAGAAACAGTGAGAAGTCTCATTTACAAGAAGATACAACTTTTGCAGTTGATACTGCAGCTCTGAGAAGCACTGATCAAGTCAAGAATATCAGCGGTAAAGGAGAACACGTAAGCTGGTATTTGAAAGATAATGCTTTACAATTATTTTTATATTGTCCTTCAAAAAAAATTCAAAGCTACCTCTTAAATTAAGACAATTTCCTAAAGTCTTCCTTAAAAAAAAAAAAGCCATATAAAGGAGAACTGTGTCTAGATTTATCAACTTCCAGCACCTTCTAGCCAGCAAGTCCATTATGCTTCCAAGTCCAGTGCCGCTATGTAACTCTTGCCTCAAACACTCCTGCTCCCTGCACATGGTCAAAAAAACATTCTAAATCATCATAGCTTCTGCCTCACCAAACAATTAGACTATACCTATAATAGTATATAAACATATGATAGATAGTACTATATTGCTTGGAATTTGGTAATTGCACATACCTTAAGTCAGGCTTATATATGCAAATTACTGTAGAACTGTATTTCAGCATTTCTGAGCTAATGGTCGAGTACAAAATTTCACAGTGATTCAAGCGTCCTGTAAAAATTGTCAGGGACGAACACAGCACAAAATAAACATGTTGTTTTATTTCATCTCTGTTTACAAAGTTTCCATACATAGTAGTGCATGCATTTTTAACAAAAGTCAACGCTAGCTATTTATTGAGCTTTATGGTTAAGATGTCTTCATTGTGTTGTGCCTTGTGAGCCACACAGCAGTCCAAATACCAGCATAAAAGGTTTTCACTTTGGAGATTACTTCAGTATCAGATGTCTAGTCTATCACATTTAACACTGACAAAGGTCATGAGGTATGCTAGTCTGTTACCTGCTTGTAACACTACATTATTACATGTACAATAAGGATACTTTAATTATTAGTGTATTAGACTGAAAATACAAACAAGGCAGGATAGTTGCAACAAGGAAAAAAAACACTTTTAAAATGTGAAAGCTGAAGCCACTGAAACATTTTTTTCATGTTGATACCAAAAAAAGCTTTGGGTTAGTGCAGGGAGCAATCCTCTTGACTAGCAAACGAGTCTGTCTTAAATAGCTACCTTATACTATTTCTGTTAAACAATTCCAGGGATTACGTTTAGCTATCTTAACCATTTATTTTTTGCTGCCTTTGTGAATCTGGTGCCACAGTGCACATGTTTTGTTAGTTTACGACCTTTCAGAATCCTCTGTTCATTTCACTTGGTGCAAAATAACATTCAGGGACTCAATCAACACTAATAAAACATCTCAATATAAAAACTTCATGGTCTTAAGACAACCTGTTCTGCACACCTTTCAACTTCAGATGCAGGCTACAGTAAGAAGAACATCAGCTGTCCTTAACTGGCTGCTCTTAAGTTGTTTTGATCAGTTACTAGTGCTATTAAGTGAGGATATAGGTGGTTTGGTTTTTTAAAACAACAGTTCCGCAAGTCCCTACCTCCATTTATTTAGAGCAAAATAATGCTAGAGTTCCTTCTCTTTAGGTAGCATAATTATTTGTGTCTCTAAAGTATTACGCAATGCTTGGGTTACAGCTATGCTAATATATAATCAGAGACATAGTTAAAAGACATGTTCCATAAAAGTTTACACTTCTGAGTAAGCCCGCTATTATTAGTGCTATACAGTGTGATCTGCCTGATTTTCCTCTATTTCAGCTTTAAATAAATACACCCTTTAGACTAACTGTTCCCCACCATGCTTTCAAACACTGATGCCTGATGATGGACGTCTGCCTTTCAAAGATAAAAGTCAGGCTCCATCTTTCGCAAAGATACAGGCTGACCTAACCCTGAAGTGTTCCTACATTTCTGATACCTATCTTCAGAAGCCCAGCTCTAAGCCCTCCTGCATCACAGGTGCTGGCCATCACCTACTCATCCCCCAGACCACAGGATGACTCCAATTCGGAGCTTGTTTAAGGCAGACATCCCTGATTCTCATAACTTCTCAGGGGAATCAAATATGCACTATCACAGCCACAGACTTTGTCTCCCAGCTTTCACAGGATTCCAGTTCAGTGGCACTTCAGCTCTCCATTGTAAACAAGATTTTTGTTCCTTGAATGCTACAAAAAGAGGGTTCCAGTCTCACAAATATGACAAACATGATCATTCCGTCACCCAGAGAATTTAAAGGAATGTGTAGATTCCATAAGATAATTAGGAATTGGAGGGTCACCCTTTGTATTGTAGTTTGAAATGGTGCTAGCCTGATGCTCTTTTCCCTGGAAATGAGATGCTTGTTCCCTCGCAAGCAGGTCTCTGAAGCCAGCATGGTGCGCTCTATTACACTGTAGTTTGTGCTCAGAGCAAATGGGAAACTGAAAGTGATGAAAGTCAGCATCCAAATTTTACTTGGGAATTTTTATAAACATTAAAAAGTTACTCATACTAGGATCAGTTATAAAGTTCTTCTCAGTCTTAAAATCCCTTTTATGTATTAGCATCGCACAAAATTGGTCTGCAAGCTTATATATTCTGCACCTCAAAGAATCACAGTAGCCTTTTAACAGCACTTTCTCATAACACCATTAGGCAATTAAGCTAGCCTGTAACACTGCACTGTGTCATTACCAGAGGATGCTGAAGTTTTAAAAGAGTTTTCGTCTCTAGTCAAAGTCCCACTTGAAAGGCCAATGCCACAACAGAAAGGGGGAAAAGATGACAAACCAACATTGCAACCATTTCTAAACCATGGTTCCCTATGAGCACTTAACCACTTTGACCAAAATAAGCACACAGTAAGACCAGTTAGCATTAAGAGAGTGTTGCAACAAGTTATTTTAAAATTTCTTAGTGTAAGTGTTTGAGACCAGCAGCATACCTCAATAATTCTTTCAAGACTGAGTAGTAGTGGAAATGCCTAATTGAAAGTGCATAAAAGTCAAGATTCTCCCAATTCCCTCTTGTGATCTGTACTTCTGTTTACAAGTATCTGCTCTGCCTTCCCATATTTAACAGCAAACTTAAAATAATTATTACATAGCCCTATTTCTGCTTCAGCAGTTGGATTTCTCCTTCTGCTTTGCTAATGTGCGCTTCAATTCCTTTAAGTTCTCTGTCAGTACCTCCACCTCATCCATTCGTCCACTGTGTTTGGCATCAAATATATAAGCTTTGATGTTATCTATCTGTTGGAGAAGCAGCTCTTCTTCTATAGCCTCCTCTCCAGAGGTCTCATTGCCATCCTCCACTTCAAAGGGATTGGTAGAGGATCCCTCTTCAAATGGATTCCCAGAATTCCAACTGCCCCCAGGCTTTTGAAACAGATTTTCATCCTCTTCAAAAGGGTTTGAAATACTGCGAGGTGCTCCATTAGTTTGTTCATCCTCCTCCTCATTTTCAAATGGATTATATTCTTTTTTATCACTTTGCAGAGCTGTGTTAGATAAAGAAACCACTGGAGAAGCGTCTTTGGCAAATGGGTTAGCAGGATCTTCCTCTAACTGAGGGGTATCTGCCTCATCTTCAAAGGGGTTTAGACAGGCTGTCTGATCTTGGTCTTTGTCACACTGTGGGTGGTTCTGGGGTTTGAGTGTGAAGATCAAGTGCTCTTCAGCTGGCAGCTGCTCAACAGCAGGAGTTTCAAAACTTGGGGCCCCTTTGATCTGAGTAATATCCAAATCCAATGCATGTGCTGTCAAGTTCTGATTCTCTTTTGCAACTTCATGCTGATGCTGCTTCACTTCTCTGAAGTCTAAGGAACATGTCCTTGAATGCTGAGACATGAATTTGTGGTGTTCTCTTTCCCACTCTTTTTCACGAAGGACCTGAAGTTCCTCCCTTTGCATCTCTTCCTCTTCTGCCTGTTTTTTAGAAAGCTCGATAGCTTTCAGAGTTTGTTGTTGATCGTATTCATCCTGAAGCTGCCTCAGGTTCTCTTGCAACATATGGACCTCGTCTATCCTATTAGCTGCCTTTGCTTGCTTAATAAAAGATGTGATATTGTCAATCTGCTGAAGAAGTGGGTCTGCTATCTCACTCTCTCTCGATATGCTAGATGTAGGCAACCAGCCTTCAGATTTCCTGACTGTTCCTTTTTTCAGGTGAGTTGCATCACCATTAACTGCGGCTGCAGATCTGGAGATAGAGTCTTTCTGCTTTTCCTCTTGTTTTCCATGTGTTTCAAGAGCCACCTAGAACAAAAAATGTAGTAGAGAACACCATGAGATTGAAAAATTCTGTTCTAAATATCCGTAGGTACAAGAAGTTAGCTGATCTTAGACATTGCTGGCTGTCACTGAAAGGTATCAGCTGCATTTTTGGTTACTTTGCAGAAAATGCTTATTTTCATAGTATTACCTAAATGCTTCCCTTCAGTTTGTTTGTGATGATATTGATCACAATCCCATGACATCTGGCTCTACAAAGTTGACGGCAAGTAGGAGCAGTGACAGTGCTTTATATAGAGCAAAAAAATGCCTCATGCAACTGTGCAAAGAGTGGTCTAGATTGATTTGGACAGTAACCGTATCACATCTGACTACAGCAGACATCTCTAACAGAGCATCAGTCACTGATATCATTAGCTTTTGGAGTGCAACAATTCTTATTTTTCAACTTCTACCACAAGATGGTTTAATTTACAATTAATGATGTCCTCCCTCCTAACTGAAAAAAACCTCTTTCTCTGAAGAGACATCCTTATTCTAATATGTCCTTTTTCACCACCAAAAGAAGTCACCAAATTCTACTTGTGCAAATGAACTCCAGAACACAATTTGAAAATCCATGTAAACTAACATACTTAGTTTCGGGCTTTCTCTGCATGCACTGCAGCAGAAACAGCATGCACAACCAAGTCACTGCTGCCTTCTAGAAGTGTTCAGCTGCTCAGTACACACCTACTTATGTTCTGGATAAAATACAACGATGGTGTTACATGAATCCCTGGAAAAGGGTATGGAATGATCTGCATCAAAAAATGAAAAATTGAAATCCAATGTTAAAGGCAACTATTCATATACACATAGCTACTAGCCTTAAGCCCTTGAAGGAGGCCCTGACACAAGATGTAGAAGATCTTAACCAGTCTTACCATATGCAGTCTTCTCTTCTTCAATTCTTCATACTGATCTTTGGTTGGCAGGGACATTAGGCCAAGCAGTTTTTCCTGCAAAAAATGAAATCTTTACAGTGTTGCTTGCAGGCATTTAGCCAATTTTCAAATACTTGAAAAGAGAGATACCACCAACACAATGCCCCACAAACAAATAAAAGGTACTTCTACACTGCAGTCACTGCTGCAAGTCTGAGCACATCTTTGCTGCCATAACTGTACTGCTAGCTAGATTCACACCTCAGCAAGAGACAAAGCCAAGATTCACACATTCTCTTACGTCCCTAAATTCAATGCTGCTCTGACTACACTATCTGTATTCAAGCTAGCTCATTTAAGGCTGCCGTAAGTCATTAAGGGAACTACAGAAAATGTATAGAACTAAACCTCCTGTCAAAATAGTTTCAAACCATGGTGATGCCTGGCAAGGAGAACACTATATAGAATTTACATTCAGCTCATAACATATGCTCCATTTACCTGAACAAAAAGTGTAGCTGAATATCTTATCATTCTCTGAAGTTGCAGTGTTTTAGGATGAGGTTGGGGATCTTCATGCAAGCCTAAACTCAAAATCTTCTTACTGAATCAAAGCAAACATACAGCCTGATCAGTTCAAAAACAAGGGCAAGCAAAAATGCAATAGAAGGAAAGAGAGCATTGGATGAAAATTTTCTGATGTTCTTTTAGGTATTCTGGATATTACAAGTTATAACACTTTCCATTCCCACGTTTTTTTGGTGTGGTTTTTGGTTTTGTTTTTTTTTTTTTAAAAAAAACAAACAACTGTGCCGCTATTTGTTTCCTCTGTGCTTAGTTATTTCCACTGCAGAGGAATGCATGATTTTAAGGCTGGAAAAGGAAGCAGAAATTGATAGTGCACAGGAACAGCATCTACCGTTTTTCACATGCTCTTTACAACTAAGCAGACAAATTGATTATTCATATGAATAAGCATATATATGCTACAGAAACACAGACACCAACAGTTGAGAAAAACTACAGAGAAGTCGTAACAGAGGGAGATACTGGGGGTAGGGGGAGAGAGGGATCTTCTTTTACCTTAAGGCATCTATAAATTCGTATACTTTTTGAATCTCCACCCTCAAGTCATTAGCATGTTCAAGATTGTAGGTTGTCTCCCCAGCACTAAGAAATAAATAAACTTTATTGTAAGTCATGCATCCAGCTAACAATACATACAACACTAGAAGTTATCCCAACATGTCTAAGATTCAACAATGGTAAGAATAGCTAACACTAAAGGGGTTGAATGATTTTATTTCAAACTCATTGTGTTTAAAAACCCTTTCTTTGTGACAGAAGTGGAAAATTACAATCATCTTGTGAACATGAACACTTCTACAGAAATCATTTTATTTATGATTGTATTATTATTATTTACTGTTACAGGAGAAATTGTATTTTAACACAAAAATGCCACTCTACCAATAATATCTAGAATATACACATACTTAGCAAATGCATCTATTTTGTGTTTTTTTCCAGGCGATTGGGTGCAGAAAAAACACTGACTGAGTAACTATACCATTAAAGTAAAATAGTTATCTCTACTAACGTTTGTCAGAAAGCAAAAGCTTACAACCCTACATGGGTATAATATTTAAGATGCTAGTAACCAACTGTCCACATGGGGACAGAAACAATTACATGCACTTTACTAGAATCTCTCATTTATTGAAAAAACAAATTAGGATTTAACAGGGAAGACTCTTCACCAGTTTTTAGCTTCCCTCTCCTTTTAAATCACAAATATAAAAGATAAGGATCACTCTCTCAAAAGCAACTTAACTATCCGTATGATTCCAGTTTCTGGGACTCACTACTAGTCAAAAATCCTTAATTTCATCAGTAAGAAGTCTGTTGTTTTCTGACATGTGCTTCCATTATCCAGGACATTCATATTTTTACTTTTCTCCAGTTGTTAAGCCACATAACACCAGCTCTTATGAAGTCATGACAAAAAGCAGTAACAGCTTAGCACGTTTTTCACCTTCTATACTTCTTTCTTCCTTTTGGTGTGTTTTTACAGAACAGTTTTGTTATGATGAATGACAGCCTAATTTTTCTACAACCATCAGATCTGAAGGACAGGTACAGAAACACCCGTTAACTTTAACTTCCCAAATGGACATGCTTCATAGTCCAAGACCAATGTGTGTATTTCTCTACTATACAAGCCAGAAGTATAACCTGACAACCTCTTGCAGATACAGCTGGAGAGATTTAAGTTACGCCAGTGAGAGAATACTACCGCAAGAAATTATGCACAAAAGTGTGATATGTGAATGCTGCTTATCCACTGCAGCACAGGGCAGGCCAGCTAGATTTAGAACAATGGTCAGGTGAAGGTGGCTTGCTTTACCCAAGAACAGATAAGAAGCATTCAAACAATCCTTTGCTGCTGGTGCTACTGGGAAGCCATACCGTCCAGCTGAGGGCAGTAATACCCTACTTCAACTGTTTCGAAGAGCCTCATTTACACAAGAATTGTAGCCTTGTACTTCCTTTTTGCAAAGATGACATGTCAAAGTCTGACAGTGGCGCCTCACTGGGAAGCGGCTTTTAAAAAAAAAAAAAAAAAATCAGACTACTTCTCTGTATGCAATGTTACCATTATAATTAATTCAGTACTACTTTGTTTGAAGAGCATCCAAAAGACAACAGATAATCTGGCGCTTTTTTTTATAATTTACATACTCTTGCAGCCTTAGCACACCACTTCCTTACTCCTTCCCACACTTTTTGGGAGGAAAAATACATATATTAATTAAAAAAAAAAAATCAGTAAATGGGGCTTACTTCAGTGATTCTGCCATCCTTATGTATTCTGGCGCCTTCTGGTCAACCTTCTCCATGCAGAGTCGAAGTTTCTTATTTAAAACAAAATGTATAAAAAAAGAACTTATATTAAAACACCAATGCAAGAACATGCTGACATAAACCTTTCATGCTGCCTGTGCACATTCAAAGTTAACTGTGATGAAAGCCATTTAACTATTCAGGATAACAAGACTCTCCAGTTATCTTCAGAACGCAGATGGCATGGAGAGGAACAGAGAAAGACTCCCTGTACCCCTGCGAAGTGAATTTTGAATTCGGAAGCTGTTTTAATGGATGACTTCGACAACTTCTAGCTTTAAATCTCTTCACAAAGAGCACCAGAAGAAACTCCCATTAATACTAACCTGGGGGGTTTGCAGACTCTACTGAAAAGATACCTAATGATTGTCAGTACCTGCTTTCAAAGCATATTTGAACACAATGTTCCAGCCATATGCTGTTGATGGATATAGATGGTTCAAAAAAGCATTTGCCATCAGTGTGAGGACAAACAGTGCTGACAACATCGAGTCCTATAGTTCCAGTGCAGCCCATCAGCAAAGTGCACAGCATATCATTGGTTTAAACAAGAACTGTTCTGAGGTATCCCAGCTGACATAGTTCACAATTTTAAGAGAGGGGCATCTCAGAACTATTAGTTCCAGATGATGAGAATGAAGACGTATCTTAAAAGAATGTTTGAAGTTGTCGTGGGATATAAATACTATATGGCAACAGGCTGCATCATTTCAGATATATCTTTGTACATGGCGTAAACACCCAATAGTCTACTGTAACACAAGTGAGTATTAAGTTGTAAAGTAAGAGCTTGGACATGAGATAACAAGCCAAAAGTGAAGTAGTGACAACTGCAGATATATACAGTGAGGATGAAAGCAGCAAAGAGTCTGATTTACCTCATAGAGTTTCACAATGTCTGGAGTGTATTCTTTCTCATCAATCTGTTGTTCTCTTTTCAACAGGGTATCTTTGCAGTGCCGACAACAACGGATTCGGTCATCATCCTTCTCATCCAGAACTGAGCTCACACTGCTTATGCTGCTAATGCTGCCACGGCGGGAGCCATGGACACTATTAGGTGAGGAGTTTGGGCTAGTATGAGAACCCAAGGCCTCTTTGCTGGCACTAGTGAGTTTGCCTAAAAATTATACACAGGTAATTTTACAGTGACTGGAGAAGCCAACAGATTTTACCAACGCAAATGAATTGCACTTTAACAGAAACTTTACATTCAGGTAATATTAGAAAACCAAGTTGAAACAGTCTGTTGAAAGACACGCAAGGAACCCATGACAACCAAGACTGCAAGTCAGAATTTGGGTCTGCTCTGTAAATCCTGCTCCGTTCTACAAGCAGCTCGAGAGCAGACTGCTGAGAACCACCTACTTTGCTTACGCCTAGAAGCATTCTCATGTTGGAGCTTGCATAGTTATAGAATAGTGTCTGGAAGAACAGGTATGTTAATGCTGTCCATGTTTTGTGCTTGAATGCTCCAGAAAGCACAGTTAATGTCATTTATTTCCACAGAAAATACGGTCTCCTCTCCAATGCACTAGATGTGGAAATTAAAGTTTGAAGGCTTTCTTAAAGGCTTGTGGATGAATTTCCTTAATGTCAGCATTTGGACAACCACGGGCAAGACTGGAAAATCCACAATAGTTTTAAACTTGGCAGTTACAATTCCTGAAGTTAATACCTTCATAGTTATGGTACTCAGTAGAATAAGACACGAAATGTTAATTATATTTGCTAGTATATTTACTAGTAGTATATACTACTACTTCTTCTAGTAACTTTTTCAGTGTTATGTAACACTTCCAAATCTGAAGAAACAGAGACAAAGAATGGAGAAATCGTTCTTATTCTGTTTCACAGGTACGTATCTGCGTGAAACTGATTGACACATGAAGGACCAAGTTTTCCACACAGGCAGAATATTACCAGCCACTTTTTTTCTAATGGCAAAAAGCCAGGATGCAGTCAGCACCTGGCTGTGAGCTAAGGAAAGGAGGAATTAACACCACACACTGTACTTACTTGCCAAAGGAAGACTGACAAGTTCCATGCACTTCTTGCACATAATAGACCCACAAAGGCGGCAGTGATGACGTCGGTTTCGAATACTGAACTTATTGCCACAGTCTGGGCAGAACGGAACATCCTGATCGCTGACCCAAGGCACAACAGACTTCTCTATAGCTGTGATCGGGCAATAGGAGACAGAACACAGACAACATAGGATATTCATTCTATTAATTCCTCAGCTGCTTGAACTATAAGAGCAAATAGTCTGAGGTAAGCTCATACCAACCTCTTATTTTAGCTGACTCGGTGTTTGCTCTGTCAAACGATGTAAGCTAGTAGAAGATAAACAATACATTCAAGAAAATTGTACTTTTGCAAGAAAAAAACCCAACACAACGAGCCCAATGAGAAAAAGAAACCTGGCATTTTTAAGAGATGGGAGTCTCAGTCTGTTTTACACCAGATTCCTGCAACTTTCCTATTTATTTCTAATGCCACATTCATACAAGTACTGCTAAACAATGACTGCCAAACCTGTACAAATCAGAGCATTGTGGACATAATCCTTACAGCATCCAACATTACTGCCAAAATGTAAGTGTATCATTGGTAGATTTTGAAGAATGAGAAGCTGGAAGAATCATGACAAAAACATTAGGGAGAAATTTAGCGAAGTAAAAGATGGAGAAAATATACAGGGAAACAGATGGTTTTTGAAGCACGTGGAAGTAGCATCTTCAGCTTGAAAATAGTGCATAGAAACAGAAATCATATCCACAGTACAGGGTCAGACCAAGCACAGTACTCAAGGATAAAAAAGGAAAACAGTAATGTCTGAGGAGAGTCATAGTTTAGAATCCTTTATGAAGTGCACTGCTAGATAAGTGGGCACGCTTCACACTAAATTATGATTTTTTTTAATGTAGGAAACATTCAGAAGGCTGGAATATTAAAAAGCAGCAAATTTACCTTTTCTAACCTGATTATTAACTTATTGACTTCAACTACATAGTGATCAATCCTGGCTGCTCGGTGTTTCTTGAAATCAGAAAGATGGCTTCTCATAGCACCTGGAGAGATAGCAGAAAGTTTTCATAGTCACCCAGGTGTTCTGTATGGATTTACATGCATTTAGATGCCTCTTGATAGACAGCTGTCTCTTCATGATTTATTTCTCACGTTCAAATCGAATTTTAAAGACACATTAGAATCCTAAATTTTCACGGTGCTGCTCTAAATAAGACATGCAGGTTAAAGCCTAATCTCCAGGCTATCAATAAACAGTTTTATTTCTACTACAGAAAACAACAGGCACTATGTTAACAAGAAGATCTGCAACAAATTTTTTTTTTCCCCCTATTCATCCCTCAGTTATATTTGGCAAGCTATTATCAACTAGTAGTATTCTCAAAACCAACTCCCCTTAGTTTCCTGGCTACATGTTGAACAAAGGGAAGACGCAGGTCCAATGATTATTGGAGGTCTATGCAACAGCAATTTCTCTTTCAGACTTCTGATCATCCTTCCATCTTTGGGGGTCTGAATCAAATCCTTGATGACAGTTCAGATTTACAGAAAACTGATCACCAAGTATACAAAAGAACAATATAGCATCTATTTAAAAATGTACAATTCATACTCGACAACGTTGGTTTCAAGTTTAAGTTTTGATCCTTTTCTGAGTTGGATGAGCCAGGTATTAAAAATCAAAGTTACAGACAAAATAAAAAAAATAATCTTTCTTCTGACTGATAGAACACAAAATTAGATGTTGCTTTTTGATACTACCTATGTAAGCGTAAGAATCTCACTTCCTCATGCTAATGAAATAACCAAAAAACCTCCAAAGCTGAATTCATAGGAATGAAAGGGCCCCTCTGGGTAACTGAATTCAGCCACTGTTTAGGAGACATCACACAGTCCCTTTCACAAACCCACCAAATTCCATCCTAAAATCCGTAAGGTTCATCTTCTCCACTCTGATCAGAAAACAGTTCTCACTTCTCTAATGTTCAGAAACCTTCTGCTAGTTCACTGCCTAAATTTATGCTTAGTGCTGCCAAAATAGTTACAAAGTCAAAAGTATAATAATCTACAGAACTTGGACTCTGCAGACTCAAAGGACTAAGTCCTAGTCTGTCAGCAGTACAGGGGAAACTTTTCCAGGATCCACCAGAGATAGTGCTGCTTCCTCCCCCTGAAAATAACATAATATTGTGGGCAATTTCAATAGCAGTATTTGAAATTACAGGCTCAGTCAACTTATCCTTGAAATTCTACAAATGTAGATTTATATTCAGAGGCATGCGTTTGGGTTTTTTTGTTTTGTTTTGTGGGTTTTTTGTTTGTTTGTTTTAAAGTAAACATCTTTTTAATGAGGGACGATCTACACCTCAAATCCAAGGAAAAAGCTGAAAGAGTTTAAACCAATGGACAAGACATGTAAACTAACAACTACTTTAAGTGTAGCCCAAAAGCTGGAGATTTTATATCGCAATAGCTTAATTATTAATTAGTGGATTATCTGTTTTGTAAAAAGCCACAAGATGGTTGCAGAACACCTCGACAAAGCTAGATGCACAGAGGTAAATGCATATCCAGCAAGCCTCAACAGCTCAGGCACAATGACATGACAAACAGCTACCCTGCTCTCAAGGTTAGTTGGGGTACTGATTCCATGCATTTTTTTCCCCCCCGTATCTGCATTTTCCCCATCACCCCACACAATGTAGGCAGGCTGCACAAAATCTATATGCAACCCATAACCCCATGCTACAGCGAATCAAACAGAATACAGACACAATTCCATGCAACTTCAGCAATACTGTAGCACTTTCCCAATTAAGATCAAAAGAGAAGTTATCTCCACTGTGTATTGCTTTCCAGCTCTCCTACCTACTTCCTGGGGCTCCCACATGTATGGATCTACTCCACCATAGCTGAATGACTCATATCGTTCCTGAGATCCAGAATCAGTTCTGTCATCTCCTTCTCGTTTCAGCAATTTCTTCTTTGCTCTTTTGGCCTTCTGGACTAGATCTGAAAAAGATAAACCCAAGTTATCAAACATGGCAGGTAGTCACCGAATATCTGTCACGTGAAACCAGTATGGAATATTCCTCATCTTTTAGCACAAGTCTTTTTCCTTGATGACAAGTTTATCCTCAACATGTTCTGTTTAGAACCTGAATGCAGTTCAGAGAATCACAGATGACATGAAATGCTCTTTGTTATCTGTCATAAAGTAGCACTAAGGTCCTAATGACAAAACAGTAGTTTTAGAAACTCCATTCAGGGACTTCGCAGTAAAACAGTAAGCTGTCTTAAACTATGGGACCTATTTCACAGCATTCTGGGACATCATACAGATAATATCTTAATTCTCCCAATTCCCAATGATTTTCTTAGGATTCAAGGATGTTCAACACTTTCTTTGTCTTGTTGCACAAACTACAAACTAAGAATTTCAGTGTGCTTGTACACCTAAATAATTTCAAAAGTACTCAACAGCCCACTGCATTATCTGATATGAATGCTAATGAGAGGAGGGCAGTCTCCTGGGCCAAAAAAAAAGACCAGGAACTTGAAACTTCAGAGCTTTTACTGCCTTTGCAGCTGTGTTCCTCTCTGGATGCTAGCAGAAGTTGAGGGCACTACTTTTCTTGCCAAACACGTTCAGTATCTCCTTGAACTAGATCTTTTATATATCAAGCTTTCTTACAAGCTGCTGAGAACCAGGAGTTAGCACACCCTTTCATAATTCTAATTTTCCTATTTAGTGTCCAAAACACTGGAACTTCCACCTTGACCTTACTGGAGCCTGTCCCCCCGAGCTTCAGCCACTAGGGCTGTGCCAGCAGGCCCCACATGCAGACATCATGCTTCCTAGCAGTTTTTCAGCTGCCGAAGTTATGCTACCTCCCAAAATGACACTCAGTGATATGAAACACACTTCTCAACAAAACTGTGTCAGGTTGGCAACGGCTAGCATTGTAACATCATCTAAGAAATAGGATTTCTCCTCCCCCCACCTACTCTCAAGCCAGCATAGAAAATGCCAGCTAGACACTGCAGTTTCTTAAGTGAAGTTTACATTATCTAAACAGAAAATATATTTGCACTCAAGACTTTGAAAGTGACATACTCAAAAAGAAGTAGGGATGCCTAATGGCTTTGCCACAGACACAAAAGCTTTTCAAGCAAACTTCATAATCTTGTTTGCCATGAAGTCAAACTTAACCACCTCAGTATGACTCGACTGAAGTAATAAGGTGATTTGTAAGCAATTCTAGAACTCCATAATTACGATACTTGGAGTTCAGTCATGCAACCACTTGTGATGCAGTTTGAATACTAGTCCCTAAAACAGGTAGTTTAAACAGGTGATTCTGCCAGCCTTCCTTCTTCTAGAAGGGACTTCACTGGATAGACCTTGACATGAATAACTAGAACAGAAAGTAAGCAGACAAAACCAACATCCTTTATGCAAGGACACACATGAAAGACAGTCTGAGAAGTCATAGTACGCTATTTTAGATTAAAAGAACATTAGAGAGAACAAAATCAAAATGCAGGTGTTTTGTATTAAATAAAAGAAGCACTTGGGAAATCTTACCAAGCCTAAGTTGTTGTTTTCTTTCGTCTTACCACAATGAAAACCATATTGCTGTTCTGGTTTAAACGCTCCACAGAAGCATCTGTGATTCAGCTATTACAGCACTGTACCCATGATGAGAACATGACTGCACTACTGACCAGTCTACCTTCACCGTCCAAGAAGAGCACAGTGCTAAGAGCCAAGAAGTAGCCAGACTGATGGAAAGCAACTTAAAGACTCATGAAATATTTGACTGTGCTACCCTTAGGATAGGCTTGTTAAAACCACAAACTTTTCACTGAGAAAACAGCCTTTTGCAGTAATCATCATCAATCTCGGGAGAAAAAAAAAAAAGGGGGGGAGAGGTAAAAATTCAAGACTGCCAGGCCACTATCTCTAGTATAATAAAACAAAACCAGAAAGATTTTTGCACACACAGAATTATCACCAGTTTTTGCACATTTTTCTCTCAACGTAAAATGTCACTGTGTACGCAAGGGGGGTAAAAAAAGGGAAATATTTTAGTTAAATAGAATTCAAAGGGATGTTTCAAACACCAGTAAAAGTTGGTAATCCATAGCACAACCCTGGGACACTCCCAGCATCTACTGCCAGCTCCACCACCCACATTCTTTTCCGTCTTTTCCCCAACAACAACCTTGCTTAACTTTACACTTTAACTGCGACTACAGTTTTATCTACTGTCAAAACAAGGGAGTAATGAATTGGTACCTGGCAAGTACCAGAGATTCCACATATTCTGAAAGTCTTCAAGTAATGCTTGAGAATTCATCTGGGTTACAGTATAAATCAGTTTTCAGATAAAAACAAACAAAAAACTCCAAAAGGCCAGTAATAAAAATCACGTGTAAAATCAGACATTTGAAGACTGATGTCTTTTAAGTGCCTGCTTTAGAATTTACTTACTAAAAGTATCGGAAATAATGTAAAAATTATGCCTTGCCCTAAGGTAATTTATAGAAAAATGGAACCCCATACCTCACTTGGAACTCACTTCAATTAATATTTCAGTATTTTTAGACATTTTGAAAACGCTCACAGTACAAGCAGCTTTTGTCATATGGAATTCTACGTGGCAAAAACGAACGCATTAAAACAGCTGTTATGCTTCTTACTTTTGAGCTGTCCTTTGACATCTCTGTCCTCGCTCGAGTGCTCCTCCTCGTAGTGCGACTGAAGCTGATAGAAAGACTGGAGGTCCTTCAGGCACAGCGGGCACAGAAAGCCTTCCCTCATCTCCCCCGGGTCACCGAAAGGCGGAGGACAACCGGACGCCATGGCGGCCCGGCCGCGGGCGGACAGCGCTCGCTCCCCGGTTTCAGCAGCGGCGCAGCAGCGCGGGGCACGG